CAAAGCACCTACAATGTTCTAGTCTGCTCCTGTTTTGCTTCTTGGGCCAAATCACAGCTCGCATGAAACCAAGGGCCAGTGGGAGTTTTGTGTAAATCATTCATGACATGAATAAATGAAAACGTATTCATTTTTACTGTATATAAATTACTTTCTATCTGCTCACCGCACAGTTTCTAAGATTATGTAACCTCTACATAATAGCTCTTATTTTGAGGTAATGCCATTTTTCCGTACTGCTATTTTTCTGTAATGGGTTATTTGCATTAGAATACTTAGCTTCCGTTACTCCTCCTTCATTATTCTTTTGATTATTAGTCCAAATTTCAGTTTTGGGGGATCCACAAGAAAGTATTTAACATAAAATTTGTTTATGAATTCAAAACGGACAATGTTCTATACCTCTCCCTATCGATTAGCTGGATTTCGTCTTATAAAAAGTTCATTTAAGAAGCTTTTCTTCCATTTATATTTGTGCTATATATTTGCCATTGCCGCATCACTTTTAGTCTCACTGTTTCTTCCTTTACGTGTGTTATTAACTGCCACACATTAGAATATTCAAGCTGAGGACAATTAATAAACAGTATGAGTCTCATGGTCAGTAATATGAATGAAAGTAAGAAATTATATTTTCCTTGTTTGTTGGTAGGCGCCTTTGAGTAAGTTCCGATGTAGTGACCTTAAGACAGCAGGATGAACGGCACCCTGCTCCGGGCCTTCCTAGCAATTGGTCTTCTATTTGAGTCCATTGTGGCAGCCACTCTGTCAATCTATCTTGTCGAGGGTCTTCCTCCCAGCAGAATGTATTATTTCCTACATATTCTTCATATAATGTGGACATCCTGGCGACCTACTGGGTGACATGTTGGGCTGCTAATCAAGGGTGAGCAATTCAAACCGCCAGCTGTCCGGGGGAGAGTTCGGCTGTGGGAAAGGGCAGTTCCGCTCCGTCGGACAGTCACTAGGAAGCAGAATTGACGCAACGGCGTTGAGTTTTTGGTTTGGAGCAGCGTACAGAGTGATTGTACACAGGACATTATATTGTACTGTTTACAAAAGACTTTAGAAGATCAATAAATTAATTCAGACGTTTTCTTCATAAAACTAATACGTAAGAGATTGTGTTAACTTTGCTATTATGTGTACAGCGCAAAATATATCATATTGGTACTGGGGGAAAAAGAAAAATAAATGAAGAAAAAAATTTATTCTAAAAATTAAACTTTTTCTATTAAAAACAAATTTAAAGGTATTAGGAACCCTGGTGGTATAGTAGCTCTTCTTTGACTCCAGCGGCTCCACGGATGGGGAAAAAAGACTGGGTTTTTGACAGTTACCCGATGCCAGTGAGTTTCCAGGTATTTTGGGGGTGATAGCTTACACTCAGAAATAAGTGTGCCAATATGAGAGAAAAGGGAAAGGAAAAGCAGAAAGAGGGGATAAAAAGAGGAGGTTGAGGAGGCAGAAGAGAAAAACTTCAAAATTAATTTTAGTTTTGATTTATTTCATGACAATAAAAAATGTTATGTTTCTATAATATCTTCACTGTCTCTAGATTCTGCTAGTAATAATTGCATGTTTTAAATTTTACTTCTCAATGGCTAGCACTTCTGAAGGCTAAAATATTTTGATGTACTATATTCTATAGATTATTTTGTGATATATAAAGAACACATTTTTTCATTTTTCTGAATCAATCATTACATAGACAAGAAAAAAAATCAGATCTGGGGACTTTTCTCTAAACACAAAGTCTTGGTCCAAATGCTAAATTGCCATTTATTTTCTATATCAGAAACATCATTCTCTGAACTTTAGAATCCTTACTTTGTCTAAGTAACATTTAAAACAGAATTTAATTATCACAAAAAAGAGCTTAAAATGGATCATTTGGTATATTTAACATCTTTCTTCCCCATTTATAGTTTCTCACCATTTATAACAGTACTGTTAGCCACAAAAATTATAGTTATTGACCTTTTAAAAGCCATTTTATATCAAAATGGAACATATTTTTTACTATAAGTTATCAAATATTTGAGCAAAGTCCACACAATATCAACATTTGTATCTAAGTATAAACTAAACTACAGGGACAATTTCATTGCTGTAAAAATCTTTTAAATGATTTATTGCATATAAATGTTACACAAATCACATAATTTTCTTGTTCAAATTAATATCTATTAATTTGCTATTAATTTCAAATATATATAACTTAAAATATATATATTAAGAAAATACAATAACTACAAAAGCACATCAATTCCTACTTTTAGGATGGTTGAAATCACTTAAAATTTTAATTCTAATTTAATAACTACAAATTATCATTTTTAAAGTTCAAAGAAACCTTAATAATAACACCCAATTAAAAATGTCTATAGACACAAATAATACCAACTACCTATGTAATACTGGAATGATATATATAATTTAAAAGTTTGCAATTTAAGATTACTTATTGCTCAAACTTTATACTGCATTGTAATATATTAATATATTATTAGAGGTTCTTATAAGATCTTTTTGGTTCATTGCCTCAAATCATATATATGTACTTTGCAAATTCCTTAAGAGCACAAACAATCTTGTCTCATATTGAAATAAGTGTCAAATCTATATAGAGTATCATTTACAAAGTTTTCTTTATGCATTAACCAATATTCATATATAATATTTTGATAAAAACTAGCAGCTTTATAAGTGTATATATAAAAATGAGATGCATTAAAGTAGATTTTTAAGTGTAAAGTGGTCAGGAGAATAAAAGAATACCTGTATATCCCAATGAAAATTAAAGCGAATATAACAAAATATACTCTATATAAACCCATTTTTTGTTTTATTCATTGTATATTTTCTTCCAATTTTCCACGTTTTATATGCATATTTATAGGTTGTATATAATTTTATTGAAATCCTTTTCACATAGACCAAGAACTGATAATAATTAAGAACAAAAGTTGCTATGCAATATAGTTGGATAAATTAGCATCTGTAATCAAAATTATTTTCAATTAAATGTAAACAAACATCAAACTTTAGATAAATACAACTTACTCCATGTTTTACAGGAAATATTGATGAAGCAGAACAAGAGTGGAAAGCAGGATTTCATCGCTGGAACAATTACATGATGGACTGGAAAAATCAATTTAATGATTACACTAGCCAGAAAGAAAGCTGTGCTGGTCTCTAATGAATAGATTTACCCTTTATAGAATGTTAATTTTCCTGTAGATTAGGGCAAAAATATTGGTAGCTCTCTTATACACCAAGTAAGAAAGCTATTATATATCTGAAACAAAAATGCCAGGAGGATAATATTGATTTTTCATATCTTTCGCTTAGTATTTTACCTAGCATTTTAAAACCCAAATGGCTAGACCATATTTAATTAAATTTCACAGCATAAAGTTTTACAATTAATTATATTCATTTTAAAATGGTTTGCTGCTTCAAACTCTTTCTTTCCAGAACAATTTTAAGCTGTTTTTTCCTCCTAATAACTTTAGGTTTCCATTTTTAGTCACATACATATTTTATTATCAAAGAAATATCTTGTTAAAAACATGAATGATATGTTACTGCACTGCATACTCTAAATTACTATACCATATCTTCTAACTTATTTATGACTGTAATGTCTATAAGCAATATTGAAATAAATACAGAAGATAATTGCATTCATTTGTTGTTTATATATATGTAATTATATATACACACACACTCGGAGGAACTAGCATGGGAACCACATCTGACATCCTCTGGGTACACATGAGGAGAGTTGGAAGAGAATCCAACTCCACACCTGTCCAAGAATGGTTTCTACGAAGCAGAGGTTCGACAAACCTAGACGTACCAAGTTCAGTCACCCTTTTCTGGCATCAACTATCACTTTCATGACACTGCTTTTCTGCTGGGTTCCATAATCACTTCCATTGGCTAAGTAGAGCTCATAGACAATACTCATGCTTATGAGGCTTTATTAGGGAAGTTAATAAGTTACATTAAGCCAGATGTAGAAATCATTAAGGATACAGTCCTTTTGTCTGTAGTGTTTTTTATCAGCAGTGTCAGCTAGCATGTCTTTTTCTGGTCCACAGCCTCTCAGTCAAGAGGTCTTTTGGCCACTGCCCTGCTCCAGAAAGTGTTACAAAACTCCTTTAGTGCTGATAAATACACACAGGACACCCTTATTCTGCAATCTGCATTAAGGTTTAACACTTCATTCTGTATTTTGAGAACCCCACAGCTCTGTCTTATGGTCTCTGCTCTCTCCATGGCTCCTTGTTCAGGGTCTCAGCTGCTGCCACTTCACACAGGGATCCTGAATCAGTGGGACTCCTCCTTCTGCTCATTGTAGGATGCTCTGTTCCTGCTTCTGAGATGACTCACTTATGTCCAGTAGAATGGCAAAATTGACTATTCCCCTCCTTAGAAGCCTCTGCACCCTATTTTCATGCTCCCATTCCATCATTTAGTGGGAGTTACAAAGATTACGGATAGTAATTTTTTAAAGGTCTTGTGTGCCTGCACATGCACATGGCCCTGAGATTGGATTCAGATATATATATGAATCTTAAAATATGAGATTCAATCACTTTCAGGCATATTAAGACAGACACAAAATACAGTTACCAAAAGACAAAGACAGTTGTTGTTAGCTACCATTAGGTTGGTTCCAAATTACAGTGGCACTACAGAAAACAGAACAAAACATTCCCCAGTCTTGTGTCACCCTCACAATTGTTGCTATATTTGAGATCATTGTTGCAGCCACCATGTCAGCCCGTCTCAAGGGTCTTCCTCTCTTTTGCTATCCTTATATGCATTACAAGGCACCATAGCCTTTTGCAGGGACTGTTCCTTCCTAATAACATTTCCAAAGTACGAGACTAAAGATGCATTCTAAAGAGAATGTTGGCCTATTTCTTCCAAGACAGATTTGTTTATTCTTCAGCAGTCCACAGTACTCTTAACACTCCTTGCCTGTTTAACACCGTATGTTAAATACATGGATGCTGTGCTCCTTCTTAGTCTTTATCCAACTTTCACAGGCATACAAGGCGATTGAAAACATTATGGGCTGGGGTCAGGTTGAATGTAGTTTTCAAAGTGATAGCCTTGTAGTTCAACACTTTAAAAAAGTCTTGTACCAGAGTTTTGCCCTATACAATATATCATTTGATTTCATGACTGCTGCTTCACTGAACATTGACTGTGGATTCAAACAAAACTGAAATCCTTGACTAGCTCAATATTTTCTCCATTTATCCAGTTATCATGGCATTGTCTATTGGTCCAGTTGTGTGGACTTAAGTTTTCTTTACATTGAATTAAAATCCATACTGAAAGTTGTAGTCCTTGATCTTCAACAGCAAGTGCTTCAAGTCCTCCTGGCTATCAGAAGTACCACACAGCCTAATTTTCTTCATGTCGCAGGTTGTTAATAAGCTTTTCTCTCTAGTTGCTGAATTCATTTTCATATCATTCAGCTTCTGGAAGACAAAATGTAAAAGAATATAATCATATACAGTTGAATTTTAAAAGGACTTTATGTTTGGAATTCTCAAACTATGTATCTCCCTTTTTTATGGGTGCCCTTTCCCCCCTAATCTCCTGAAACATACAGTCCTCAGACTCATTGAAAAAATTCTGGCTTGATGGCCTTCTTGTGAGAATTGTGAGAACTCCTGTATTTTCTCCTTGGGTGGGAGAGACCTCTCTCTCTCTCTCTCTCTCTCTCTCTGTCTGTCTCTCTCTCCTCACTCCCTAACCCTAAGAAACGCTCTACTGACAAAACACATGGTACTACACCCTGGGACCTGGAGAAGCTGCATGGACCTACCCTGATGCAACCAGACCTCTGGAGCTGGAGAAGACATGTAGAGACCCCTGCCAGTGCTGAGATGCTTACAATGCCACTGGATCCACAAGACATCAACTCATTGGCCTGTTTTCTTCCTACATTTAACATCTGAAATCTGAAATATATACCACCTGAGATGAGAGAATTCTTGAATGGGCCCAGCAATATTAGTATTTTAACAGGAAAAAAAGAGATACATAGTAATATTTTCTACAGTCAGAATATTATTTTGCTGTGTGGTTAAAATGACAAAGCTGTATTTGTTAACTTTCCTGGCAAGAGAGAATATAAACCAAACAAATGCACTGCTGTCAAGTCCATTCCGGTCTCCAGCAACCCTGTAAGACAAAGTAGAAGTACCCCATAGGGTTTCAGGCTGTTCTATTTCCACTTGCAGACTGCCCCAACTTTCTCCCATGGAGCTACTGATGAGTTTGGGTTAGCATCCACATACCTGACCACTATACTACCAGGGCTTGGAATCACCTCACTTGTGAGGTGCCCATAAAGGAGTCGGAAAGGTAGTTTAAGTGTTAGAAAAGAAGACTGCATGAGGATTAAGCTAAGTAAGCCTTAGAAACACAAAGACAAAATGATTACATTGGTCCATATATTACTGATCTGAAATTAAAGCTTGCATGGATCTGCCAACACTAGAAATCTGTGATATTTGATCATCTTTTGTTTAGAGACACTTGGGCTACCACTCAAACCAATTTTGTTATCACGGAAGTACTATTGTTGTCAACATTTTTGCTTTATGGTTTCTCCACCCTGAGATGAAGACAATACCATGCAAAATATTGGAGGATTATCAAAATTTTCATCGTACACCACTATCTTGCTGTCAGGTGCAGGTCTTCCAGGATTCCATTATAGTTTCCTGAATCACTTAAGTCACATTTGATATACACCAATCTAATGTGTCAACCAACAGGAACATGCCTGCCCCAAAAGATTGGCACCTATTTAAAAATGTACCTAGAGTTCATAGCATACCTGCACACTACTTCATATGGCAAGACCCAGCCATAGGAAAATAGCACAGGGATGACTTTGCCCAACCTAGGACAATCAAATTGATTTATTCTCAATTTTTACCTAGAAATTGCTGAACTTGATCTAAAACATTAAAATAAGAAGTGGTAGTCAACACGGAAACCTCTTCATGTTTACTGTGACAATAATCTAAAATGAGTCTCTTGTGCCCAGCATCTTTACAGAAAGTTGGATTAATTTTTTTTCATTTTAATACCCTATAATACAGTATTTAGTGTTAATAAAAATATAGCAGTTAGAAAAGAATGTCTGGAAACTGATTGTGGTAGCAATTGTACAATCCTACTTGATGTGATTGAACTATACAATGATATGATATATGTATTAAGCCCCAATTAATAATATTTTTAAATGAAAAAAATGAAACAACCCATTAAAAATATAGAGTATAAGAGAGTTTTATGTAAAATAATTGCTGTTTCCTGGGGAATGAAGGCCTCCACATCAGTAAGCTGAAGCCAAATGTGAATGAAATATAGAAATTGGTAGCCCTGACTTTTTGGACAGTTGTACTTCACTATGCTGTTGGATAAAAGAAGGCTAGATCATTTAAGATATTAGCAGTATGGAAGTATTAGAACCCCAAAAGGCCACAAAGCCCTTTGCAAAAGTGTAATATGAGCAATGTTACCTTGAAATATATACACAAAGCTATGGAACATCATAGCTAATATGGGGGGAAATTGGTACATATCTAAAATATGTGAGATGTATTGTGTTCCAGTTACAAGTTCTTAGCCTAATCAGTACAAGAATATTTTCCTTGGCCCATCATTTCAGTGAATAAGCATTATTATTATTTTTTAATGTGGTATCACCAATAGACTTTACATTATGTAGTTTTATGGAAAGTTTTTATCATTTATGGTTAGGTCTTCAGGGAATATTTATAAGCACAAGGTAACAGAAGTCATATAACTAAAGGAACTAATAACTTATTTTCTTAAAAATTGGTTACTGAATACAATGAGAATGAAGAGAATTAAGTAAGGTGTGGTAGTTACATAATTGAATGTCAATCTGACAAATATAGTGAAGGGCTGAAGTTTAGCCTGTCCATCAGGTCACAGCCTGCTGACTCTTCTTTGTGGGTCTGGCCTGCTCACAAGGATTCTGGTGACTTCCTCTCTTTCTCCTGGTTCACCTTCCCGATGAGGAGCCACATTCAGAGCTGGAGACGCATCACACCAGCACTGAGATGCTTCTTCTGCCATTGGATCCACAAGATTTTTCACCCACTAGTCTGTGATCTTCCTACATTTGGCATCATTGCATGTGCTGTGTGAATTTGAAGAGGAATTTATAGACTAGTATCAGACATCTAGGCTAATACCAAACTTATGGACTTGATCTCGACTGTGTTGGGATGTTTCTCAATATGAAATTGCCCTATGATATAAAAGTCTCTCTTACACACATATGAGTGATTATGAATTTGTTTCTCTAGTCAACCTAGGTTAACACATAAGGTTACTAATATCTGGCTATTTAAAAACAGAAATTCAAGTTAATGATACATTTTAACATAATTATAGAATAATCTAATAAAATGAAATGTTACAAAAACTCAGAAGTGAGACAAATGCAGTAAAATGTCCTTCTGCATCTGCAGCCTTAAGGTAGCCAACAAATGAGACCGCTCTGTAAAAATTTTGCTTTTAAATGATGATCAGAAAAATTTAAATAAGTTTTTGAATAGATATTGTTAACAATGTAGTATAATATAGTAGTGCTATTTATAAAGACAAACATTGAGCCA